AAGCATTGTTTCTGATGAATTGTCATTTCACACATTTTTATTGGTTGGCGTACATATTCATCTAATGTCATGGACAAAACATTGGACTTGCATCACCGCCCCTTCATTATATAAGTCATCAGAATAGAAGTTCTTATAACACAGTCGGTAGAAGATTAGAGTGTGACATTTCAATAACTACACGATCACTTTTATCTTATAACACAGTCGGTAGAAGATTAGAGTGTGACATTTCAATAACTACACGGTCACCTTTATCTTATAACACAATCAGTAGAAGATTAGAGTGTGACATTTCAATAACTACATGGTCACCTTTATCTTATAACACAGCCAGTAGAAGATTAGGGTGTGACGTTTCAATAACTACATGGTCACCTTCATCTTACAACACAGCCAGTAGAAGATTAGAGTGTGACATTTCAATAACTACATGGTCACCTTTATCACACAAATGACCAGTGTTGAACATGCTAGTTCTGTATGAGATGGTATGGAATCTACTAACTTTTTCAGCTGATCTATAATCCTATGTACACTTCAGGTTGAAAGTTGTGTATAGACCCAAAAGAAATACACCAGGTGGTAACAATGTGCAGTTGTCTATTTGGCTGCTCTTTGTTTAACACTTGGTCATAGATGTGCAAAAGTCTGTGGCCCCCCTCGTCCCTATCTACAAAGCGTAGCCAAATTTCAATTTGTCACTGTAAAGGATCTATATTTACAAATCCAATCATATAATCAACAAATTGATCTGTAAAAGTCATTTGATCCAGGATTGGTTTCAATTTTCAATCAATTGTCCATTACTAGTATACTATTTGATCATTTTGTGGAAATAAAGATTCACAATGGATTAAGAGTACCCACGAAATCATCAAAATAAAATTCCCACTCAAAATAATGATTTTACAGTACAGCAATAATATGTGATATAATGATACACAGCAGCTGGGTTTTATTAGGTTTATAATGCTTACATTTTCAGTGTAAAAACATTAATCTAGATGTGACGCCATGAATCTACATTAATATTACGCAATATTTAGTAATCTCAACAGTACATCAACATTACGTGATTTTTTATCATAAGCAATACTGCTGTGTATAAATATACTGCCCTTTGACTCCTGTATATAAGAGCTTGTAGTAATGTTATGGTTGGTGCTTGTAACAAAGCTCTTTCTTTTCTAACCATCTGGCGTATAGACAGAGACGTCCAGTAATAGGGCATTATATATACATATGTAGATGGATGGCTGTAATTTATATAGCGTCTTGTGTTTATTCTGAATGCTTTTCACTGTAAATACCATAGGGTTGCTTTTTGCCTTTACATGATATGAACTGATACACAAGCTGTCTGTACTTTTGGGGGAGAATGTAATCAAACTCATTCATAAAACTTGGTAAAGCAGACACGAATATACCATTGATAGACTAGAAGGTTGACGAACAGTATACCTATATTATTGTATCAAAACACTTCTTCTTGTGAAGGTATGGTTTATTTTACAACAAACCTTCTTTCCTTGCGGACCAAGAAGACTGATATTTAAGTTGAAATAACATGTTTCACAAGTGTTAAAGAAAGTTAAATATATTATTATGTGTACTGAAATTCAGTCAACAGTATGTCATGTGATATGATTTATCAAACATGTAATGACTTTTACCTAAATAATTACAATAATGATATAAATATCCTGAATTATGTATCAGAGGAACACAGTGTTTTGTAATTCAGGATCAGCTAGAGGTCTCGCACCTCATGGTATACAGAGTTATTGCCCTTTGTTAACATTGAACTTTATATTCCATCATGTCACATTCATAGTTAAGTTTGTAATGCTAACATATCTTGGTGAGGCAGAATGTTACACACTAAAAAGATGTCTCTTGTACCGATATATGTGAAACTTAAACATTCCCAATCTTCCAGTGGTATTGACTCTCCTCTATCTCTCTTGGAGTCACAGACTTTAACAAGTTATATTTAATACCTTTTATTCATGAGATGTAAAAGTATCACATTACCTGAATCATGGTAAAAGTGATGGAAAAAATATTACTTTGTGTCAATCATGGATAACTTGGTGATAATACAATATTAAAAATATTGGCAGCCAATAGCTTTTCCAATGATAGGAACAAATATTGATTTTACAGTTCAGGATACAGATATTTAACTGCCAAATGTTCACCAAGCTTTGTAAAGAACAGACTGACTTTACACAAGCATGTTATGGTATAAGTGCAAGCCTTCTGTGCTATATGGTGTCTGTACATACATTGCCAGACCCAGCTTGCATGTATGGGCATCATTTCTGTTTTATTACATCTTGTTCTCCAAAATAAGATGGTATTCTAAGTTCTCATAAATTTCTGTGTATATTACCAGTTCCTTTAAACTCACAATTTGTAACCATAGGAAATTTTGATTTAAATTTACGATGGTATAGTCTACAGACTTTTTATACATAAACTGCGTGGTACGACGATAGTTCTCTAAAGAATTGTCTGTATCCAAGTCAGTGTTTTATTTGGATTAATAGACTTGCCAATTATAATATAAAGCTCCATGTTAATAGAATAAAAGATGTATGTTTTAAAATAAGATCAAACAGAGATGTATTTATTGAAATAGGATCCGAAATGTATGAATAAAATAGGATCAGAAATGTACGAATAAAATAGGATCAGAAATGTACGAATAAAATAGGATCATGTATGAATAAAATAGGATCAGAAATGTATGAATAAAATAGGATCAGAAGTGTATGAATAAAGTAGGATCAGAAATGTATGAATAAAGTAGGATCAGAAATGTACGAATAAAATAGGATCAGAAATGTATGAATAAAATAGGATCAGAAATGTACGAATAAAGTAGGATCAGAAATGTATGAATAAAGTAGGATCAGAAATGTATGAATAAAGTAGGATCAGAAATGTATGAATAAAGTAGGATAGAAATGTATGAATAAAGTAGGATCAGAAATGTACGAATAAAGTAGGATCAAATGTACGAATAAAATAGGATCAGAAATGTATGAATAAAATAGGATCAGAAATGTATGAATCAAGTAGGATCATGTATGAATAAAATAGGATCAGAAATGTATGAATAAAATAGGATCAGAAATGTATGAATAAAATAGGATCAGAAATGTATGAATAAAATAGGATCAGAAATGTACGAATAAAGTAGGATCAGAAATGTACGAATAAAATAGGATCAGAAATGTATGAATAAAATAGGATCAGAAATGTACGAATAAAATAGGATCAGAAATGTACGAATAAAGTAGGATCAGAAATGTACAAATAAAATAGGATCAGAAATGTATGAATAAAATAGGATCAGAAATGTATAATAAAATAGGATCAGAAATGTACGAATAAAGTAGGATCAGAAATGTACGAATAAAATAGGATATGTATGAATAAAATAGGATCAGAAATGTACGAATAAAGTAGGATCAGAAATGTACGAATAAATTAGGATCAGAAATGTATGAATAAAATAGGATCAGAAATGTACGAATAAAATAGGATCAGAAATGTATGAATAAAATAGGATCAGAAATGTATGAATAAAATAGGATCAGAAATGTATGAATAAAATAGGATCAGAAATGTATGAATAAAATAGGATCAGAAATGTATGAATAAAATAGGATCAGAAATGTATGAATAAAATAGGATCATAAATGTGTGAATAAAAAGGAAATGTATGAATAAAATAGGATCAGAAATGTATGAATAAAATAGGATCAGAAATGTATGAATAAAATAGGATCAGAAATGTATGAATAAAATAGGATCAGAAATGTACGAATAAAATAGGATCAGAAATGTATGAATAAAGTAGGATCAGAAATGTATGAATAAAATAGGATCAGAAATGTATGAATAAAATAGGATCAGAAATGTATGAATAAAATAGGATCAGAAATGTATGAATAAAATAGGATCAGAAATGTATGAATAAAATAGGATCAGAAATGTATGAATAAAGTAGGATCAGAAATGTATATAGAAACAAAGTATCAGAGATTATTTATGAAAACAATATTGAAGCATTTAAATGAATTTCATGATTCACGTAAGAAAACATGATTGATGTACTATATATAGAAGTCACCTACTTGGAAAGTCAGTGATCATGTGACTAGAACTTAGGCCGTGACACAGCATCCATTGTGTGTCTGTCTGTTTGTCCGTTGTAAAACAACTTATTCGAAATTCTCAATATATAACAAACAAACAGTCCAAGATTCTGATGTTGTACCTGTAGCTTGCTAGAATGAAACTACAGGGATAAATTAATTAAGGTTTTTAAACTTCTTTTCAATGACCAGTTATTTTGCCCCTGGATCATGGGCGTGTGTTTATGTGACCACTGTAATGATGATCTATGGTCTTTATAAACAATAATTCTACAATTTTTATGACATCTAGCTACAGTTATATAAAATGTACTAGTACTTAATTTCCAGCAGAATCCCAATCGAATTGATGAACTTAATACATATATTATTGATTTTATTGCTCAAAATTTTAAAACTAAATTACAAGAATCAATATTAATATCAGTAAAGGAATATGTTTGAACATTGCAGATAGAGGTTAACCAAGAACTTATAGAACAATTTAGTCGCTAATTAAGAGCTTGTCTTGCCATATGGTATTTTTAGTAAAGCTTTGTAAGCAAACATAATATTGCATACCAATTAAGCCATACTTTCATTTTTCTGAATTTAGATGGCTTATAAAAGAACTTGAAAAGCTTCGGTTTATACATTGCAACTCCAGAAAACATACATTATATGTAGATTTATATAGACTGTGTACAACAAAGTTTTTTCGGGTCTAGCTATTTTTGATAGGCCAGTCATGAGTGTGAGGAAAAACATCAAAATTTTGGCCTTAAAACAGAAACTTGTGATGTCCTTATTAATTCAATAAAAATGACATTTATTTACTTTTAATTGCAGCACATGAAGATGAAGCTAGAGATGATGACTTCCGTACACCATTGTACAAAAACGTAGAAATAAAAGGAATCACTGTACGCATGAAATGGTGTACAACCTGTCAGTTCTACCGACCTCCGAGGTGCTCTCATTGTAGCGTGTGTAATAAATGTATAGAGGTGAGTTTGAAAGATCATAAATACATATATGGGTCAAAGAGGCTTTCTTGTGATCATTTTACCACAAAGGGAAAAACCTGGAAAAGAAATTTTGATTTAAGTGAATTTTTTTGACATTATTGTATTGATATGGAAGTCATAACATGCATGCATCAGGAATCATATAGTTATACATAAGGATATGATGTTCCAATGCAGTGTAAAGAGTTAGGACCACACTTAAATATCTTCCGTCATATGTTGATCGGAAGAATTAATGTGACGATATTACAGATTATAATATAAATTTGGTTTTATTCTGGCAAGTTTTAATTGGTTAAATCTATTAGATGATAAGATGTACAAGCAAATCAATTTATGATCTTGTTAATTCTTGTTCACATTTTCACCAAGATTTTTATGAATATTATTTTTGGTCTTGTTTCAGACATTTGATCATCACTGCCCATGGGTGAACAACTGCATAGGACGGAGAAACTACCGATATTTCTTCTTGTTTTTAGGCTCACTATTTATTCATATGATCAGTATATTTTCATTGAGTCTTCTTTACATTTTAAATCACAAAAATAACTTAAGCAACGTTGGATGTATAGTAGCGTATCCTTTTTAAAAGTATATTTTTTTACATGTATGTATGTACATATTATGTAGTACGTATTTAAAGTGACAACACAGTAAAACGCACGGTAAAACGTCTTTTTTTTCTATTCTTTATTATTATTGCATCTTGCGTTCATGTGTATAAATGAATTGCCTCATTCTCAAAACTGTCATATGATGCTAACGGCCCTAAATTTTAGAGGGATTTTCCCAAATTGAATTGTCCAGTTGGACTTCAGACATTGACTTTGCACATTAGGATAGCATAAAAACTTAAATGGAAGTACATAGAACACAATCATTAAAAATAATGTTTTTTACTGGGATGTCTCTTTAAGGTATGCCTTACTTATTTACATAAAACATCTTCATTCTAAAAAAGTTTCAGGTAATAAAATAACAATTTTTTGAACATGAACATGAGAGTTGACATCATTGAAAGGAATCCAATATATTGTCATTATTGTAAGGAACATAATTAAATATGGGTAAGAAAGTTTAAGGATATTTCAAAGGGCAAATGTTTTTCACAGTACAGGTATAGGAAGTGAATTATATAACACATTATTCTAACAGTACAAGACTATTTCCTTAACGTTGATTTATCAGTATGATCGATATGATAATTATTGGTTTATTATTAGTCCCTGTGGGGGGCCTCACAGGGTTCCATCTTGTTTTGGTATCTCGTGGAAGAACAACAAATGAACAGGTGTGTATATTTTCTGCTTTTTGTATCAAACAACAAATTAACATATTATCGGGAAACTTTCTACTTATTTTGCCATATGATTTTCTTCCAGAGCGTTTAGTATTATCAAGAGTGAAAAAAAATAATGATTAATAATGTACTTGTGTGGTATCACCAGGATCTTCATATCAAGGTCAAAGTTCATATGAATAAACCACATATCAAATAAATTGTATCATTAGTAATTCAACTCTTCATCACAAGGTTGAAGTTCATAATAGATAACTGCTTATATAATAAACTGTATCATTAGTAGCTTGACTCATCTCAAGGTTAAAGTTCAGAATGAATCCTTTGATAACAGCTCTTGTTCGGTCAAAGTTTTGTGAACACTTGCATTTTGACATACATATTGAAATGGTGTAGATTATCTCACTTAACTCTGCTTATAATAATCATGATAAGGCTCCATAGCAATAAGGTTTTGTCACTGGTTTTTAACTTTTTCTCTCAATTAGCCTTTCTTAGAATTTCATACAAGGGCAGTCTTTCTTCAGCATTACATATCTTGCAGTGAAGCTTTATTATTATTATTTTTTTTTTTTTGTGACAGGTGACAGGAAAGTTTAAAGGTGGCCACAATCCATTTACTCGAGGGTGCTCTGATAATTGTAAATATACCCTGTGTGGGCCACGGTGGCCCAGGTAGGTACAAGTAAGGTCAAGGTTTGGGTCATGGTCGAATGACCTTTGACCTTGCATGCGATTGGTTGAGTCAATCCTTCGAAAGGCATGGATGATAAATAAATTCTATCCTTACATGAAACAAAGTAGGAACAGGTCAGATCAAACTCAGTATTGGTCATTAAAGTAATCAGAACTTACTCAAATTATAAAAAAAGGCTGTAATCACCTGATATGTCATAACCTGTCCTTTATTCAGAGTTAAATATATTCAAAATTGATTTTGGAAATGAGATTTATTGAGGAAAAACTAAACCATACTGATGTAGAATATCATCTAAATATTATGGTAAAAGTACATAAACAGAATCCAATAGTCAAGTATTTTATAGACTGTTACAGCATGTTAACACACCTAACTGGTTTGTAGACTGGTGTCCTATGTGCCTAAGACGAGGACAGTTCAGATAGACTCTGCAAAAGTGGTGTATCAGGCTGCAGACAAAGATGTCAAACTTTACACTGACGCTAATACCAATGGCATCAAACGTAATACAGCTGTCGTCAACCGAAATGTAAGTGCACAAAGGTTATATACACAAGTTCCCTTTAAAAAGTTGATAAATCCCCATTCCATGTGTCAATATATTCCCTTCAGAGAATCTGGTCCAGATAATTGGGCATTTTAAATACTTACTGTTGATTTGCTGTCAAGTTTAATATGGATCTTGTGCTTTACTGCCTTTTACTATTATGCGTAGTTTGAATTTGAAAGGAAAAGAATATTAGAAAACGTTTATCTACACCAAAGATGTATTCACATACTTTGCTTTTTAATGCAATATATTAAAAAAAATTTCCCACTTCTAGGTAGCAATCTAGGAAAAAAAAAAAAGTCAAGCTTAAATCATTTAAATTTTGAGGAGAATGTAGACTCTGCTGTGTATAACTGACAGTTGACTCTTGATTTCTGTAAATCACTTATATTTTGTATAGGATTAATTTTTGTGTGGAGAGAGAACTGGAAATTTACAGTGCTGGTGAATATTTGTACGAAAATCACTCTGGATGGCTTCCATATTGAGTTCATTAGTTATATAGGAGTCTTGTAGAGTCTGGGTTTCTAATAGCAGATATTGAGCGAATTTAAAGTCATTCCTAGATCAGTGTTCATGAAATTATGTCTTCTCTAATGTCTGAAAGCGGGAAGTTAACAAAATAAAGTATTCGCAAAATGTAAGTGATTTACAGTAAACTTTCATTTCAAAATGTTCTGCTGCAATAAAACTGAAGAGTGGTGTATGAAGTTGTATGTACGTTCTCAATAATCAATAATATCCCTGTGGTGGTTATTGGTTCTGGCAGGGTAGAGAAGAGATAGATCAGTTTCTGATATAACTAGATTTGGAATCAGGTAAGATGACTACCAGGTCTAATCAGGGGTGTCCAACAAGCACACCCTGCATATTCATTTATTCAAATTTTTTAATAAAAATGAAGATTTCATTGAAATTAAGACATTTTGAAGACATAACATTTTTAATTTTTATTTCTATCAGATCTTCAGATTTAGACAACTCCTAATGTTTGAAATGATGGTGTTTTATTTTTAATGAAATTTAAAGGGAAGAAAGGAGGTGTAGCATATTGGACACTGTTGATTAATGAACTATACAGGGTGAGGTCTAATATTACAGAGTGACCTCCCTTAGGTTGCAACTCTTCATTGATCTGTAACTAACCATGCCCTCCTAAGCTCTCTAACTAGCTCTCTGTCTGCCTCTAATACAATGATTTTAGAATGCCACATTTGCCTCACAGTAATTAAAACATTTCTAAGCCTTCTGTATTTTCTTGTTACTTTTGCAGAGCATTTAAGGAAGCCTAAAATATATAACTCCTGCCTAAACTAAATATATGTTTTAAAAATGATGAATTTTTTGTAACTATTTATGATACAAAAGTTAAAATTATAACCAGTAATTTTCAGAGCTTATAACATTTTATCGTATTTTGTATCATATTTGATGAACTTCCTGTTCCCATCTTATACTTCTAGAATTCCTGTGTACACCTCCCAAGATATATGTAGTGGCACAATTTCTCCAGCAGTTCTATAGTGAATTACTGCTACACAACAAAAAGTTCCTTTGATATTTACGAGGTCATAAAAAGAATTGTCTGTAAATAAGGTTGCTTTTTGATTCAGATATACGTGAGGGAAGTTATATCTGATATCAAGGAAGAAGAAAAATCATAAAAATCCCTGAACATTAATATATTGATATACAAAACTTGCATAGTCTTTATAACTCTCATAATAGCATAATTGAAAACAGGCAGTAAAACGTCATCCAGAAAATTGTCAATAAATGTTATTATGGTTTCCGTAGTGTGTAATTTTATTTTCTGTGAACACGAAAACGGAATAATTTGGGTCCCTTTAAATACAGCTTTCTCTTTCTCTGGTGTAGATAAGGGTTTTCTTATTTCAAGTCACACCCATTTTAAAGATTATTTCAAAAAGTGACAAAAGAATAAGTCATTTATGTCCTGTTCATTGTCAAGATATGGTCTGTCACCAAATGATTTACATTGAATTTATCAGTTTTATTGGGAAGGTTGTATCACCAACATGACAATCTGATTACGTTTTGGTGTATGTATTAACACTTGAGTTGACGTGGGTTACATATATTTGTGATATCTAGAGACTAGGATTGTTTAAACATGATATGTTGACATATATGTTCTAGAGACAGCTACATGAAACTCTTATTGTATTGTACACACATTTTATGAACAGATTGGCACTGTTTTCAATAAAGGTCACTTTTAAAAATTGAATTGATAAATTTAATGTTATGGTAATTAGTGTGAGTTGTTGTGATATAGTATTAGAAAGAATACATGGTATAAGTTTGTAGCTGTTTCTACAGATAGTGATGGCCAGCGCTGCACCAGATGACCTCCTTTACTAATGATCTGATTGTCTTAACATTCCTGGCCAGTTTTGGAGCCAGTAAGGTTTTTAAAGTTGTCAAAAATTACATTATGCAATTTTGCAATCAATGATTTTCATAAAATTTATTCTTAGTATTGTAATGGTAAATCTGGTGTTGTACTGTAAGTGTTCAATAGTAGGTCTGGTGCTGTGGTGACATTACAATAATGTTTGGTACACAGATGTTCAAATTTAACTCAGTATTCTCATCTTTATTTGCAGTGTGTCCTGATTTCATTTCCATTACTCAAAAGTCATGTCATTCTACAGTAGGTCACTGATGGGAGTTACTCCATATCTTTGTATATCTAAGCAGAATATTAGAGACTTAAGGGGTCGGTGGTATCGATAAATTCAATTTTAGAAATTCTAAAAAAAAATCACTCAAGGATACAAATTTAAATTCAATTTAAAAATTCTGAAAATAAGACCACTCAAGGACATAAATTTGTCTTACATTTGTTACCCATACATATTTTGCCTCAAAAAAAGATTTATTGCCTTAGAGACAAAGTACATTTTTACAAACTGATTCTCATCATAGTTCGTTCTTTTTCTTTATAGTTTAAACCCTCACAACTATTTCATAATTCAATTTCCTGGACTGAATACCAATACTGTTATGTATATGACTTGTGTACATCAATTTGATCACATTCATCTTGAACTCATAATCAGGTCTTATGGTAGATTTATGTAGAAAAGAAATTAGCCAAACCAAGGGTGATATATTGATGAATTTTATCATATTGTTAAACCAATTGATCCCTTTTAATCATATACCTTAGTACACATACAAAAAAGGAGTAGAAAATATATTATTTGCCTTAAAATTGGGGTTTTGAAGATAAATGAAGAGGAAGTGTAGGATTGATAGTGTTAGTGTACCTATTTAAGTAGAATTGACTGACTGAGTTAGACTCTTCATTTCCATCTCTCTGTCTACTCTGCAGTTACAGTTCTACCCTCCAAAGTACTGCAGGCTCTGCTAGCTACATTTGTCTCCAGTCTTATTCATGCATGTGTCTTTTTTTCTATTTTGCCTGTATCATGGATAGCAATTTTGACCTCTTTCTTTGATTATGTAAAATTGTTTTTGTGAAATTTCATATGCATCATAGATTGTTCCTTTTGACCTTTTGACATTTTGAGTGTATATTTTAATATTTTATATAATTCATTTTTTTCCTTTCTTTACAGTTTGATTTCATAATGTTGAGTACCTGTGGAGTATTTATTACAATTCTTTTCAGCATATTTTCCTTGTTTAAACAGGACATAAATATATCTTTATGTAGAATGATTTGACCTGAAATGTTTTTCACACAGTGTTAAGGGAAATTTTGACCCGTTTCTGTGTGACATCCATTTCAGTGTCAACTTCAGCATGCTGACTAATTGGAGGATTATGAATGCATACACAGAGCTTAATCATATACTTTTTGTACTTCCAGAGGTATACTGTTGTTGTGCTCCCGGTAGTGTGATTGTGTACAGACTACACTGTTATCACACTCCCAGGTGCTTATCATGTGTCTGAACTGTCCAGGGTCTGTGAAATCATCTGTCATCCAGTAGTCCTTCATCATAGTCTGCCATAGATCACTAACTTCACTACAGAAACCAAGTATATCTCTTCTCCAACAATAATTCCAGCTCCAGTGATTACCTATGCCCTCCCAATAATAAGTCCTGATTCAGTACCAAATTTTGCCCACTAACATTAGACTTACCTCAGGTAACCAACTCTGCCCACCTACAATAGATTTACCCCAGTTTACCCCAGTTGACAAACTCTGCTCACCAACAGTAGATTTACCCCAGTTGACAACCTCTGCCCGCCTACAATAGATTTACCCCAGTTTACCCCATTTTACCCCAGTTGACAACCTCTGCCCGCCTACAATAGATTTACCCCAGTTTACCCCAGTTGACAAACTTTGCCCACCTACAATAGATTTACTCCAGGTAACCAACTCTGCCCACCTACAATAGATTATTTACCCCAGTTTATCCCAGTTGACAAACTCTGCCCACCAAAAATAGACTTATCCCAGTTAAGAACTCTGCCTTCTCTAGTAGTAAAGCTTGCTGTTGTGATTAACTTCTCTATTCTGTTCTCCATCAAGTCTTTCCAATTAATTTACCATCCAACAATAAATCCTACCCCAGTGACTAACTGCCCTCCAAAAATATTCCCTACTTCAGTAACTAACTCAACAATTCAATGTTAAGTCCTGGCCGAGTGACTAATTCTGCTGTACAAAAATAAGTCCTGGTCCAAGGACCTACCACAGTGACCAAATCTGCCCTCTCCATCAATTAGCCTTGTCCTGTTGACTTTCTGTGCCCTTCAGTGATAAGTTCTGTCCCTAACACTAACTCTGTCCTCCATCAGTATCCTGCCCCAGTGACTTTTTCCTCAAACAAGAAGTTTCCCCTCAGTAACTTACTGTTACCGCCAGCTGTAAGTCCTATTCCAGTGACTAACTCTGCCCTCCTACAATTGGTTCTGTTCCAGTGACTAACTCTGCCCTCCTACAATTGGTTCTGTTCCAGGGACTAACTCTGCCCTCCTACAATTGGTTCTGTTCCAGGGACTAACTCTGCCCTCCTACAATTGGTTCTGTTCCAGGGACTAACTCTGCCCTCCTACAATTGGTTCTGTTCCAGGGACTAACTCTGCCCTCCTACAATTGGTTCTGTTCCAGGGACTAACTCTGCCCTCCTACAATTGGTTCTGTTCCAGGGACTAACTCTGCCCTCCTACAATTGGTTCTGTTCCAGGGACTAACTCTGCCCTCCTACAATTGGTTCTGTTCCAGGGACTAACTCTGCCCTCCTACAATTGGTTCTGTTCCAGGGACTAACTCTGCCCTCCTACAATTGGTTCTGTTCCAGGGACTAACTCTGCCCTCCTACAATTGGTTCTGTTCCAGGGACTAACTCTGCCCTCCTACAATTGGTTCTGTTCCAGTGACTAACTCTGCCCTCCTACAATTGGTTCTGTTCCAGGGACTAACTCTGCCCTCCTACAATTGGTTCTGTTCCAGGGACTAACTCTGCCCTCCTACAATTGGTTCTGTTCCAGTGACTAACTCTGCCCTCCTACAATTGGTTCTGTTCCAGGGACTAACTCTGCCCTCCTACAATTGGTTCTGTTCCAGGGACTAACTCTGCCCTCCTACAATTGGTTCTGTTCCAGGGACTAACTCTGCCCTCCTACAATTTGCTCAGTCTAACTCTGTTTTCCAATGATAAATCCTGTTCAAGTGATTTACTCTGCCCACCTAGGTCCTGGCCCAGTGACTAACTTGGCATACCAACAATTTGTCATGTCCGAATCACTTACTGGGCCCATTTAACAATGAGTTCTGTCCCAGTGACATACTCTACCCTCGAACAATTACCCCTGTCCTAGCGACTAACTTAGCCATCAAAAAACAGGTGTTGCCTTAGTGACTTACTAAATCCTCCTCCAAAAGTATTACTGCTTGCAGTCCTTACTTAGGATGAAGTTCCTACACTAGATCACCAGTAGAGGGCTCTGATAGTACTTACAATATTAGTTGTTTCTAATTTAGTATGACCATATCCATTTGTTAATGAATCAGTCTAGTTTTCTGTTCATTGTTTAGGTGCAAATTTTTAGAAAATCAGTGGAAACTCAAACCAAGTATACACTATAATACAAAGTTGAATAAGGAGTTTGGAATATACTTTTTGCTGTTGGATATACGTACTGGTCAATCCCTGTGTGAAGAGGTACAAATGAAGGGCTGCAATGTGTAAATGTCTACTGTCAATTTTAGCACTTCTGAAGCTTGTATTTGTTAGTATACTCATTGTCTGCTTGGTGTGTGTAGTGCTGACTCCAGAAACCAGGTAGATTTACTTACAACAAATTGAACCTACCACTTCCTACCACACCCCAGAAAGTCTGGGTGAAGTGTCGTTATTGATAATAGTTATCCAAGATTCCAAAATTTGTAAGGAATTACAGCTCCAAAAATGTTGACTAATGCAGCTGTCATTTTGATATTGGTTCCTGTTTCAATCAGTTTTTAATGAATTGACAAATTTCTTAATCTTTTGTTAAATTTTCCCATTTGGCTTCTTTTTTTTTTTCATGAAAAATTTACAGTAGAGGATAATTTTCAAACCTATCTGAACTTTCACATACAACTCATAAGTGAAGGCAAGTGATCTGCTGCCATCACTCTTGCTGTAGTTTCTTGTCACATGATATGTCAGGATATATTAGAATACACTATAAACTCTATTGTGACAATAATATTACAAAATAGTCCTGGACTTTGCTATATGTTGCTTTTAGTGTTGTATAATGTGATCTTGTAACAAACTAACTTTATAGCCACTAAAGATGGAATTTCGTACTAAAATAAAGGGAGATAATTTGTGTCAGGTTTGCCTTGGTGTCTTAAGCTAACCTATTGCTTCATTCTGGTGGCAGTATTAATACATGCAAATGCTAATGTAACTCGCTTAACCATCATCATTGGTTTAGGTCAGGGAGACATTAGTGAAGCCCTCAGTTTGTTGTCATGCTTTGCTATAATACATTAATTCATAACATTATAATTCATGGTTTATAAAAAAAAAGGGTAGATCTGTGGTCTTTGTAACTCAAACCAGGCGTTTTAATGACAATTTGTAGTAATTAAGACAGATTACCAAATTCATAATTTGGTTTTTCAAGTCAGCATGTTATTTTATGTTGGTAGTTTACTTTAAATACCTTCATAGCTGCACCAAATAACTTATCCAGAGCTATGACAGGTTTTAAAGCTCTGTGTATGTACTTCAGTGCATGTTTGTGAAATTATGACTTGATATAGTCACATTAGACTGTATAAATCAAATTCAACCATTACATGATACTTTCACCTGTATACCATCACTTCACAACTTAAACTATACACACGACATGCTCTATAGGAACAAAATTACACCAACTTCTGAAATACTCTTTAATAATGAGGAAATTCAGAGTAAGATCAAACATGAGCTTAATTGTTGATAATGATCTTACATGGTAAGTCTGAAATCTGAAAATTAAACATGAAGTTTAAGTATACCTATATTTAAAAAGCAATTTTGAAACCTTAAAAAAGATATTACTGTAAAAATAATTGTTCAACCTTTTGGTAAACCTGGGAAAAATAGAACCTTTTTCTATAAGAGACAACTCTTACCCTAACAACTGAAGAGGAAGTAAATCAGAATTACCTCCCTTCAGTCAAACAATTTGAAGAAAGTAAGCATTGTTAAAACAAGCAGAACCAAGTAACTGTGTTGTGTGAAGTGATTTTCTCCAAAGTTATGATATTCATTGGGTCTCTGTTCGAACCATTACCACAGAATTTAAAACCTGGCTTATTTTATTAGGTCTCAATTAAAGTCGGTAAAATTCTTACAAAAACTTTTAATATTTTGATTGACCACAGGAGTGGAATGAGTGAAAGTCAGGATAATTAATTCCTGTTTAACCTTGAACATTTTAGTAAGCCTAAGTCACAAGCAGGATAACTAATTTCTATTAAACCTTGAACATTTTTATTGGCAACTAAAAAGTCAGGATATTTGATTTCTTTTCAACCTTAAACATCTTTATCGGACATAAAGACAGGAAAATTAAAGTCGGGATAATTGATTTGTGTTTAAACCTTGATCATTTTGATAGGCCTCAGCAAAGTCAGGATAATGAACTCTGGAATATCTAAATAGACTGTACTGTACACCAGGCTCTCTTCTATTCAAGCCTTGATAGGATGAGACTACAAAATGGATGCTCCTATAGGGCATGTCTTAACCCCACGAATGGGTATATCATTTGTGTTTCACCTGTATATGCATGCTTCGCTAGTCAATAACAGAAAAGATGACAATGCAAGGTAACAACCATTAAGTTCCTTTAACTATAATTTGTGGGGGAACATCATCGTATTAGTCATAAAACAGTGTCCAGGCTTTTACCAGTAGAATGATGGTTGTTATCCGACATTGTCATCTGCTAGAGTTGAATATGCTGTAGAAGAGAAGTATAACCTGGTAAAATCTCCTGTAATTTATCCTCACTTCATTGCTTTAAAGATTCCACAAGACTGACTGGTCTACAAGTCAGATTGTATCAATGGAAAAGAATTGTACAAAATTGTGATACAGAAACTGCTAAAAAGTTTTTTTATTCTTTTGTATAAATATGAATAAACATTTGATGACATATGTTCTAAAGTGTCATTTTCAGAATTTATAATTATAAAGACAAACTAATGTTTTGGAGAGGAAATTTTTCCTCCATGTTTTCTGTTGAAGTTATTTTCCCGCTAAGTTTTCGGTATTTTTATCCCATTATGGATAGTTTTTAACATTCTTGATATCAGCACTATCCACTTTGTAAAGTTGCACTATAAACACGGATCTAACTTAGTAAGATTTGATGAGGTTATTATTTGTGACAATGTTTCACTGTGATGAGAGATGCCAGGTTGTACCACTGTGTAGATTTACTATGCTTTGATGCCTTTCACTGTACTTTATCATTTACATCAATTTCCCTTTCACTTTTTATTTTATTTCCCTTGGAAGACAACTGCTGAAGCATAAGAATTCAGTCTCTCTTCAACTTGATTTTGTTGTACAAGAAAAAGTTTGTGTTCTGTGCTTTCTTTATACATTGATTTGTATGTAGTGGTACAAACTAAACGATGCAAAAACGCTACTTACAAATGTAATTATGTTTAACTGTTTAACAGTAACAGCTGGAAATGAAATTAGCAGCAGTTGTCTCCCCTAGCAATAGGTACCTCCTTCACTAACGGCCTGGTATTTTTCTTCTGCATTCCAGGGTGTTACCACAGTGGTATAGCACACCGGCCATTCTGGTAGTGTAGGCATGTCAACCACCTGCCTGCCCACTCACAAATATAGTGTGGCATCATACCTGCCCAGGTGTCATGGCTTAGCCTATTTATAGAATGCCTGCTCCTGTTACGCACGGCTGATTAGCGTACCTCTTCATGCCACAGGAACCCTTCCAGTATTACACTTACAGGTTTACAGAAAGCTGTGGTATTGCAGTTGTGGGTAGTTTTTGGGGAATAAATTAGAGGTATGTAGGTAACTATAATGTGTTGTGTGCGTTCCTTCCCCCAGGCCCCTCTCACCACTCTCCTACTGGATGATGAAGACTCACAGAGCATGGACAGCCAGACAAGTCTGGGGGCACAAATCCGCTCAGACTCTTACACAAATCTTTTTGACACTTCTCAACAGTCTGTGTCCACGCTGCAATCTCAGCCAACATCTGTGGGTGCAACGCTTCATGCCAATCATACCAATCACAATGCACAGCGTGGGTCTCCCAAACCACGGAACTATTATGACCGAACATCTCCACAGAGAGGGCGTCGTGGAATGTCAAAGGCACCCATGGCAACACCTGAAGAATCTCTTATTGCTACCTCACCATTGGACAAAGCACTCCCACCTAGACATGCTCTGAACAGTCCGGGATCTGAGCGTGCTCCTTACATATCCAATGGCCGGCAGAACACCAGCAAAGGTCAACGGAATGAAGGATCGCGCTTCCCAGCTTATGAAACACAGCAGAAACATCCTGGAGATTCTCAGTACCAACTAAGCAGTTCTCAATCCTACCCAGCCCAGCTAAGGGCTGGGTCATCTGCTGCCCCTAAATCAAGTGTTTCAGCTCCGCAGTACCCTCCCACAGGTTACAGCGCTCGCTCATACAAAAACAATGGCTACACTAGTGGTGATCAGGACACTCCGCGTGGCCGTGAGCGAGTACCACACAGTAGATCTGATAATATCTCTACAGGGCGACCTTATACTGCATCACATCAGACAAGTTCGGATACACGGGCCAAACGTTCCTATGAAGCCCTTCCCTCTGATCACAATCGGTCATACTCTTCGCAACAACCCTCAGTGCCCAAATCTCGGACACTGCCAGCCCAGGGTGCAGAGGCCTATTTTCCTGACGATGATTATAGGGCCAATTCCAGACGCCCAATGTCTTTTGTAAAAGCTTTAGAAATGAGTGAAATTGTAGAACAAAAAGAAAAACAGCAACAACACATACAAAAAACACCACCTCAAAGTACTGCTTTCTCCAATAGTTCCCATTCAAATACAGCCAGTGGAGGCAGCGAAAGACTTTCCCGCCCAGGCAGGTCAGTCCCTCTTCAGGGGCGGTCAGTCCCTCCTGGCCAGGGACATCCAAGGGGCAGAGACAGAAGTCGGGATGAAAAGAAAAAGAGTCTCTATGACTCGAGCTTTGAAGTGTCAGTGTGATAAAAAAAAATTAATTAATGACACTAAGGCAATTTGTACCAACTGTTGTGATTGGTGGACCTTCCTGTCTGTTTGATTTTTCATTTCAAAAATCTAGAGACAACATCATTGGTCCATTTGTGTACCAAATGATGTGTTAATGAATCCTTCCACATTAATATTTTTTGGTTTTTTTTTTTTTTTTCTTCATCCTTGATATATATACAGTAAGTGAGTGTGTGAGATATAACACAAGGGTTTTTATGTGTGTGTGTTTATGTGCAATGTTTTCCTACGTCAGGGAAAATTTATGTAAATTATTGAAGAACCAATGTGATGAAAATGTATAATGCAGTATATTTGTGTGTAAATCTTGGACCAGTCGTTACTCGGACTTGTATGGTAATCCAGGATGAAATGTACAGAACAGTTTAGTGTGACAGGAATCTCAATAATCACAATTCTTAAACAATTGGATATAGAAAATTCCGAGATTCTGAAACATTTTTTATCTAGTCACTCGACAGAAATATTTTCTAATTTGTCTGTTTGACAATCATGTAGATATTGATAGACTCTAAATTTTATCTTGTTAAGATTATCATTGTTGTTCAGAGAGATAATTGTTTCAGTATAAGTATGTATTACTTTGGAATTTTAGGCTGGATTTCCTCATTTAGGTTTTAAAGTGTTACATTATCATGTACTAAAAGTTATTCAGGGAAATATTTGCCCAGAGTTTTTTTTTTTTCTTTCACCCTCATTGTAACTTGATTTCTGCCTAGTGTTAAGATAGCCCTGGAGTACATAAAACATAGCTTACAGATTTCATGTCTGACTTCAGCCTATATTTTCTGATTTCCTTCTGTGAAACAGGCAGGTAGATGTCTCTTCAAACACATATATTCATAGGCATGCATTTTTAAGGGTTATGTTTTTAAAAGGCTTTTAAATAAATGGTATGTTTCTTTGTGCTGTACCAGTATTTACCCTCAAGATAGTCCCTAATAACGCTCTGCTTCTGATAATACCCAAGTTTGGAATGACCTAAACATATGTGTTCGCTGCATTTATGCCCCACAGAAGGGTCATTTTGAGGTGGGGTCTCCTTGTATTAGCTTGTGGTTACCTAACTGAACATCATGTGGAAGGTCCACCTCATGCTATCCAGAACTATTTAGATAAGATAACACTACACTTACAGTTAATTAAATCCTTTTCTAAATACTATGTTTATATGATGTTGCAAATTAATAAGGAAAAGCTGTAGAACAGAAAAAATTATATGTCCCCGCAGATTCTTGATAACTGTCACAAAGAGAAATATGGTAGAGAGCAACTATAGCAAGTTTAAAATAATTTTGTCTTTTAATTAACTTTCTTAAAAGTTGGCCTATATCGAAATATTTTATGATTTTTTTTTAATTGTTATTATTATTTGAAAGAATGCGATTCAAAATGAAAAAAAATCTTACAAATTTTAATGTCACAAATTTACTAATGATTTTTTTTAATATATTAATGATTTTATGATAATTTTTTTCATTCATATTTAATTAACCAGTTTGAGGTACAGATATGAACTTGATGATATAATGATACTAATCACACAATATAATCAGGTCTGTGACTAAATCTACGTCCAGGTTATAGTATATTACTGGTAAGTAAAACTTAATAGGAAATAAGTTTGCATGTAGATGTCTTATAAGACTACAGAAATGAATGGGTCAAATCTGCCTCTGGTTCAATATTTGTGTTTTCTGGTTATAGTCTGACAAGATCGACATGTCCTGTTCACCTTCCATTATCATACTGATCTGGTTGATAGCGAGACCATCTCTTCTTAAAGAATGGTCATTTATATATACATGTTTTACAGGCTAAAGTATCCTAAGTGTCTTTCAGAATAAAGGAAAACATTTGATTAAATACAACTAAAATATTCTAAATTTTATGTGACAGGTCATTCTAGTCAGACTATATTTCAAACCATGACATTGTGACCTTGATTGGTATGCTATTGTACATACAGACTAACCCAATGATGTTAGTGAATCCCTAGCACCAGTGCCAAATATGATGTAGTGTGCATGTACGTTTAAGTTTACGAGTTATATCACAATGTGATTCAGGAAGTGTATCTGTAGTCACTGAAGCTTTACCTGTAACTTTCCCTCAGTTTTCACTAGCTTTTATTTGATGACCAAAGTTTTATGCTTTTTTTTATTTATCGGACATACAAAGTTCACATGCTTACTAGTTTATCTTATGCTATTTATGAGAAGAGAATCTTCTTTCCCAGGACAAATTCTTTGTCAATGGTCTTACATTTTGTAGCAAGCTCTCAGGCACCAACTTCTTGGAAAACAAGAGTTAAATACTGCAGATTGATCAAAACCATTCTATGTTAATGTGTGTAAAGTACTCTGCATTATTTCCTGATTAGTAACATGTGGCACGTAAGTTTGGGTTATGTTGAGCGTGACAAGTCATAAAATTTTGTCACAGTACTTTTTTATGGGATGTCCTGTTGATAAGGTCCTAATTAATAGCAGGTTTAATTATATACATTGGATTAATTATATAGTTCAGTTTAGAAACTGGAGTATTTTATAAGAATTATTAGCACCTTATGGTGGATTTTTCTCTACAGCAACGTAAATGGACACAATTAATGTCATTGACATGAAAGGGGTCTATGGTAAGGATGTGTTTCGGAAGTCAGGTTACACATATCGTTGATTTTATGAGTAAATGAAAAGTTTGTGAGATGACAATGTTTCTTAGAAATCTGAAAGTCCCATGAAGGAGATGAAATGTGAATAATTGTCAGTATATGTATGTCTGGGTAACTACTTCAAATAGATAGATTCCTTGTCAATTTTCTAATTTCACATCCTCTCTAAGCAGGGTAACTCTTGGAGTGTTCATTGTTTCACTACCTTGACATATGTATCATTTTCTGCACATTTTATCTTATTTATCAGACAATTTATTGTACAAGATATCTTTACCTTTAACATGTGTGAAACAAGGGCATGACTATTTAATTTTATGTTGTTTTCTTATGTTTTTTTTCTGATGATATGTATTGTGTTTTAATAATTTATTTAGAAATTTAAGAAAGGAAATTAGAACTTGGTAAATGATCTCTTCCAGCCCTTGTGTCTGATGTAAAATCAACCATAGGGTTCTTCCTGCTTCAATGTTAGTGACCTTCAACCATACCATTTGTAATTTGCTTCTGTAAACTGCTTAACTTAAATACAAAAGTAAGATATTTAAAAAACAATTTAAGATGCCTATCTACCTGTACATGCTTATAAGCAGTTTCACCGAGTTCTGTTCTATAAAGTAGTTGTGTGGTCACTTTGATTTATTTCTTCATCTCTGTAGGTATTAAAAGACAAATATATTAATTAAAACTTCTCATCATAATTTAGTAATTGAAAAACAGGATAAATGTCTGTTGCTTGGTGCTTGAGATATCATCCTCTATACACACACCTCCATAGGGCTACGTTCACACGAAGGTTTAAGCCGTCAACACCATTCATTACTTTAAAGTGCAATAATTTGGAGTAGATTGCAATACTTCTAGACAGTGTATTATGTCATGTTGTATTGGTTTACTGAGTAGTTTCTCTTTACTTTACAAGAGATTTTCATCCTACATTTATTGTCTAAAATCAGCCAAATCACCGTTTATGGAGTCCATTTTTAAACTCAGACATTAGAATTTAAATATTGTAAATGGTTGATTACTTGTTTCATATATACAAAAAATAAAACAAATGTATTTCCCTGAGCAGTCATCACTCCGAGAACTGGCTAACGAGGAATATCTGTCAACAATCATAACTGTCAGAGAAATGGCTAATGAGAAGTATCTGTCAATAGTTAATTGTTGAGTAACTGTCGATTGGGAGAATATCTGTCTACAGTTACAACTGTTGGATAACTGTCGATTGGGAGAATATCTGTCTACAGTTACAACTGTCAGATAACTGTCGATTGGGAGAATATCTGTCTACAGTTACAACTGTCAGATAACTGTCGATTGGGAGAATATCTGTCAACAGTTACAACTGTTGGATAACTGTCGATTGGGAGAATATCTGTCTACAGTTACAACTGTTGGATAACTGTTGATTGGGAGAATATCTGTCTACAGTTACAACTGTCAGATAACTGTCGATTGGGAGAATATCTGTCTACAGTTACAACTGTTGGATAACTGTCTATGGGAGAATATCTGTCAACAGTTACAACTGTTTGATAACTGTCTATGGGAGAATATCTGTCAACAGTTACAACTGTTTGATAACTGTCGATTGGGAGAATATCTGTCTACAGTTACAACTGTTGGATAACTGTCGATTGGGAGATTATCTGTCTACAGTTACAACTGTCAGATAACTGTCGATTGGGAGAATATCTGTCAACAGTTACAGCTGTTTGATAACTGATGATTGGGAGAATATCTGTCAACAGTTACAGCTGTTTGATAACTGATGATTGGGAGAATATCTGTCTACAGTTACAACTGCTGGATAACTGTCGATGGGGAGAATAACTGTCAACAGTTACAACTGTCAGATAACTGTCGATTGGGAGAATAACTGTCAACAGTTACAACTGTTGGATAACTGTCGATGGGGAGAATATCTGTCAACAGTTACAACTGTTGGATAACTGTCGATTGGGAGAATAACTGTCAACAGTTACAACTGTTGGATAACTGTCGATGGGGAGAATATCTGTCAACAGTTACAACTGTTGGATAACTGTCGATTGGGAGAATATCTGTCTACAGTTACAACTGTTGGATAACTGTCGATTGGGAGAATATCTGTCTACAGTTACAACTGTTGGATAACTGTCGATTGGGAGAATATCTGTCTGCAGTTACAACTGTTGGATAACTGTCGATTGGGAGAATATCTGTCAACAGTTACAACTGTCAGATAACTGTCTATGGGAGAATATCTGTCTACAGTTACAACTGTTTGATAACTGTCGATTGGGAGAATATCTGTCAACAGTTACAACTGTTGGTTAACTGTCTATTTGGGAATATGTGTCAATGTCACAAGTGTCTGTTTACACAGTGATAGAGTTTCTTTCCATTACTGGACATCGTTATGATTCATATTATACCAGTAACAAGTACTAACCCTAGTTTGATATTATGCCTCCAGCTATTATGTCAGCAGGTTTTGCTCTGACTGGGTTTATATCAGTAGATAATGCATATCCATGGAGGTTAAATGTGATAAAATGTGTTTGTAATTCATGCATTTGAAATGACTCTCATTTATCTGAATTATTATCAAAGGAAGCGAGCTTGCCGGTCATGCGCCAAAGTGCAGTTATTTTTAATAGCAAGTTTTGCTTTTAAACACTAAACCTACCCAATGTTGAAATTACAAATATTGAGTTTTGTATAACAATTGAGTTTTGTATGACAATGTATTTTAAAATTTTGAAAATCATAACATTTTTTTATTTCTTTGTTGATTCACTCTCTTTTAAAACCAAATTTATTGTTAACAAACATGTGATACAAGAAGCTTGTTGGCATATTAATTTGTGCTATCTGCATGAAGGACCATCTGATACGCCCATCTTTAATGGGTTGAGGTATATTTTACCAGTTGGTTGGGAAATTCTGGCCTTTAATGGACAGAGACTTATTTCTTCATTTTGGTTGGGAAACTCTGGCCTTTAATGGGGTAAGAGGGAATGTTTCACCCATTGGATGGAAAACTCTGGCCTTTAATGGGGTAAGAAGGAATGTTTCACCCATTGGATGGAAAACTCTGGCCTTTAATATGTGAAGGCTTATTTCATCATTTTGGTGGAAAAACTCTGGCCTGTAATGGGTGGAGGCTTATTTCACCATTTTGATGGGAAACCTCTTTCTTAAATAAATGGAGGTTTATTTCACTTTTTGATGGGAAACTTTAGTCTTTAATGTGGTAAGATTAGTTCATGATATGAAAGAAAAGTCAAGTTTAGATGGGCCGAGTTGAATCTCACCAATATATGGGAATCTCCAGTCTACATGTTCCCATTCTGTATGAAAATTATATCTGACATAAGCTGTGTTTTATCTTACTATTACTACCATACCTATACTTTGGTGAAGTTTTATCTCTCCACCATGTGAGTTCTCCTTTAGCTAGGACTAAACTGGCTTTAAAGAGCTTCATACTCATATGAAAAAATTAAGCCCTACTTGGCCAGGTTTTATATGGCCTTGGGACTTACCAGTCCTTCCTGGGCCAAGATGTATCACAAAGTCCTGTATTTGTCAATGTTTCTTTTCAGTGCTGTAGATGGAATGTAAGAACCATTGTGATCGTATAGAGTTTTAGACATTCCAGTAAAATAAATAAAATATTATGTTTTTTACACAATTATTATTCTTGTTGTTTCCTCTTTGAATGATATCATGCAGTTTGTATTCTTCTATGAA